GAACTGAGTTGAAGAAATATCTCTTTGCCAATATTTTAATTTCTAATTTGAAGTAACGTATTAAATACGTTGGCTCACTAATAATAGTATGCTTACAGAATTGCCCTTAATTTTGCCTTTTGATGCAGAAATTTATCCACTTTAAACAAAACTTTAAACAGCCTCAATTTTCCTTTGACTTAAACACATTACACAACAAGGTTACGGGTAAAAACTAAACATGAAACCATTTTGTGACACTTTCTTTCAGAATGTACACGTAGGATTATCTGAAATAGAAAATAGACTATTTTGTTCAGAGAGTCATTAGCTCTGTGTTCACACCGAGAGTCAAATGAATTCTGCTAACCCGACAATTCCGCATTTTCAGTCAATGATAAACAGTGTCTGGCTGCCCATCCCATTCGGACGTTCACTCTAATGCCGTTGCTAGCCGCTGACAATATGGTGCATAATATGTAATACCCGGGCGCAAAGCCAGCTGAATCACTATAAATTGCTGGCCAGTTTGCTCGATTCTAAACCACCGCTACAGCCAGAATTGTCAATCTCAGAAATCTATGAGCAGATGTTCTGGGGGGGGGGGGGGAGGGGGAATGATATTGATGTGTACTAAAATTCATGAAAATTTATGAAATGTACTGTACACATTGAGTACAGTACATTTCATAAATGTTCATGAATTTTAGTTTTTACTTTTGGCTTTTCTATTCTTTACCACAAAAATGATGACATTATGAAGGACTGCAAATCTGATGGGTTTCTTTTTCTTCAACTGACGATGTGTGCAAGTCTAGGTTTCCGACGTAATGAAATATAGGTTGGTAAAACAATACAATTATCTACTTTTTTAAAAGGAAGTATATGAATCAATACAGATAAGAAAAGTGTCTCTTGTAAGACTGTTTAAGGGACTTCCCCTTTGAAACACCATAATGAAAATCTTGACTTCGCAGAGGAAATTCTATCAAATGAAAGACCCAAAAAAATTGAACAAAAAAAATGTGTGTGTTGACTTTGGCTCTGATAAAAATCAATGTTTAACATTTTGTCCTTACAAAAATATGCAAAACGATTCATTGAAGATTTATTGGAAGCAAGCATGTTGATTTAAATACAAACAAAACGTACTTAATATACATGTACATGTGTATGTATGTACCGGTATTTCAAATCAAAACTTCTCCTATGCAAACATGCCTTCTGTGCAAAGTCGTCCTTTCAGTCAAAATCAGTCAAGTGACTGTTTTTAGCGGTTGAGTGCTCCCTGCCCACATAAAGCAGGATTGACTGGCTGTGACTGTTTCTATAACTTGATACAGCTACATGTACATGTATGCTTTGACTGTACATTGTATGTAGCTGACTGGTAAGCCAGCTGTGCCTACCAGTTGCCTGCTTTTGTCTGTTGACTGAATTTGACTAGTCACAGCGCATGCTCGCAATATGATCTGTCTGTTGGTGACTCGCCTGTGTACATGTAAAAGGCATGGCAGGGGAAGAGGATTGATTTGTTGACTATCTGTGACTGTTCAAACAGCAGGAGGCTTTTGTTAATTGCATTAATACTGGCTTAAACATGTATGCTGTGCTCAAATTTACAAAAAAAATGTTCCCTGAAACACTCGAAACTTACGATATCTGAGTGGAACATACCCAATCCCATCCCAAACCTTTCCGCGAGTTTGCATCGATTCTTTTTGAATCACCGATCTGCAACTGAAGAGTGCCCAAACAGCAAGGCACGAAAGCATGCTATTGCTAACAAGAGGATTTGCGAACATAATCCTCTGCTCGCACCCTAGCTTAATCACATTTGATTACCCAACCTACAATAATCACTCAGTCTCTTATGTCCGTCCACTCTATAACTTTTAATCGGACATAACCGGGAAAGACTAAATCCAATTGAAGCCATACAAGTCACCAGAGAAGAAATGTCACTGAATGGGATAGCACCCTCTTTTTTTCCAAACCACATGCATTAGCATGTCCTCTACACATCATGAAACAACTTGCATGTCCCTGAGGTAAGATAGAACTGCAGGGAACAGCCATTTGTCTGTTGAAATCCATGCCCTTCACACTGCTCCAAACCTTGAACATGGAACGATCCCTAACAACAAAACATCACAGAACAACGCCACCTTGGAAAATTCTGCCTCAACAGGTGCCCCAAGGTTTATTGACATTTGACAGGTACTCCAGCAGGTCCCCATGTACATGTACACTAACAATGGAAGGGAGTACTACACGAGATATCATTTGCTCGTAATGGCTAATAAATACGCCACTGTTATCTCCAACTGACCCTGTGTAGCGATGGCAAAGGGCAGGCATTATCAGCAGTAGGCTATGTTGAAAGCCAGACAAATACACGCATCTGAGGTGTACATAAACTTGCATTGAGCACGTTGAAGGATCCCACTTCAAGTCTGAGAAAATGGTTTTATACAATGTGGGGCCTTTGTCATGTTGTTGTCATTGTGGATGTTGTTGTTTTGTCTCCAGCTCTATATTTACTGTACCTTTCCATCTTTGCAAGTATAGTGGTACATGTACATGTAGTGCAACTGACATACGGTACATGTACACGTACATGTACAACAAGCTACATGTGTACAAACTTTGAAACATGATTGCTTTTAGTATTTGTTTCCTATTATTAACCCTAACTCCCTCTAGAGGAATTTTTGCCAGGATGCAGCCCCAATCCTGTAAACTCCTCCAACTGCCTCCATGTATAACTTGCGTACAGCCTCAATCCTCCAAAATCATTCCTTATTTCTTGAAGGTACTGTGGTCCTTGGAGGGGTGACCACTGCCTCAATCCTGCAAAATCCTCCAGCAATCACTGCCAATATGTTGAGGCAGAACCAGGGATATCCTGGAGCAGTGCGGAGGACTTCAAGTATAATCTAGGCCTAAATTTATGCATGGCTGAGCATAAACAACACAAGGTCCGGCCCAAGACCTTGACACAGTGAATCCTCCAAAATCAGCCATACACATTTTTGCCTTGGCCTCAATCCTGCAAAACCCTCCATTTTGCAAAGAGCATTTTGGAAGGTTGAGGTTAAAAACTCTAACTACTACTTCGCATGTCCACCTTATAATTTAATTCAACAAATATTTTACTTTGTGTACTGCAAGTAAAACTTTAGTAATCCTTTCAACTCGAATGAAAGGAAAACTTGATACAGCTTGCAAAACATATTCTTGTTTTGTACTTACCGTAAATAAAAACAGACATGAACAAAATTATTACGTTGGACATAATCCACCACATTACAAAAACAATTTCTGGCACCTCCGACAAAAAGCTTGCATGAGTAATAGCACACAATTCAAGGCAAAAAAAATAAGAACCGGTTACAACGCATACAATGAAAGTAACCATCAAGTTTAGTGGACCAATTTAAATCCCCGAAATATGAAACTACTAGGGAGGGGATGTGTTAAAGCTGCAGCCAGACCAGGTGTTATTATAACAAGTTGATTGTGCAGGAACCACAGCACAGAGCAAATATGTTCAACCACCAAAGCAAACCACAGTTGGTATTTGGAGACCACAATAAACATGTTTTTTTTTTAAACCTATTTCCAATCCAAATAACACAACTGGCAAACCACTGTTATCTTGGTTTGATGGTAAACATGAAGGATCATAATTTTTTTTTACTTCAATGGACTGTGGTTTTCTGGCACAAAATGAAAGTGAAGTTGTGAAAAAAAACTTGAGATTTACAAAAAAATATCATTGTAGCAGTATTTAGTCACTGAATTTTCTAACCAAAAAAAAAAATTATACACAAAAAAGAGAAATGGATTTATTTGAGGCTTTTCATCAATTCTTTCTTTTTGTAGGTGAATATCAGTTTCAGATGTAGATTTGAAAAAGTTTATTTGGAGAACAAGCCAATAAGCTAAATATTACTTGTCGAAAGAGATATTACTTGTTCGTGTACAAAGTTATGAGAATTATAGTATTTTTCACACAGCTGATAATTTGCACTAAAATACATGATGTTAGAGTACATGTGAGTAATGATAGGGGTCCTTCCTTTAAACTCGAGGTCCAATTTTTTGTGCGTCCGTGTTCCCGGTACATCTGATCTATGATTTTGTAACTTCAGGACACACTCTTTAAAGCTATAGTCCATCATTTGCAGCCATCCGAAAAAGTCACTGGCGTATTATTGTTGAAAAACATACTTGGTTGAAAGATAGTAAGTGGACTAAACTCCCTGTGAAATTAATCTTTCTGGCAAGCTATCATTTTGAAGTAATCAACGAAAGAAGAAGGCCTTTCCAACGGTGCGTCTTAAGACACACCGTAGGAAAATTTAAATTAGTAGTTTGTTTTGTTATTCGGCACAGCGCGCGCAAGCATTGGTACGACGCACACGCGCGCGCGGTTGCTATAATTTGTCGGATCAGTGCGCGACATCGCGTATAGCTGCAATTCAAAGCATGATTCAGCAATTTTTGATTTGAAATTGAGATCCTACCGGTGGAATGCTGCTTTTCTCGGAATAGACAGCTGAAGCTGAGCTGAAACTTCATCAGGTTAGTTGTTCAGTATCCGTCATTAGATTTTGAACACTTTTGTTGCTTCAAACGAACAAAAATGCACAAGTTACAAATGATGGACTATATCTTTAATAATAATGCCTTCTATCACATGTAAAGCAACATACATGTACATGTACCTACCTGCCAAACAAGTTTGAAGTCAATTTTAATAATATGTGCTTGCGTGGCAAATCGCAGAGGTCGGGGGGTAACAGGGACACAAAAACGAGTGTCACACTTTTGGATCCAAAATTTATGGCACGACCCATGGACATTTTCACTTAAAAATAGTCTTCCGGTGAAGAATTCATCATGTATGCTTGTGAATAATTGATAAGGTACAATGTACATTATGAATGTGTTGTCAGGTTGTGTGTGTGTATTATCGGCAAACTAAACCTGGCGGTCGCGACAAGACACCTTACCGTAGTTGATCTCGCTGTAACATCTCGTCTTCCTCAGCTGCTTATTCCGCTTCTTCCTGCGAAAGCTCATGGTAAGGGCCGAAGGTTGGTGAGGCATGCAGCCAAGAAATAAAAATGTGAAAATTTTTTACAACTGCTATAAACCAGTCGCCGGGCTTCAAAGCTCCATTTGTGTCCGCTGACGCTCGGTTAACGTGATTAACCCGCCCCTTTGGCAGTGAACGCCGGGCACGATACGCTTGTCCATTCAGAAATCGCAAGCAGGTGTCAATGAGGCAGGTAAGACTGGTATGGAGTATGTGCGGTAGCGCAGCTAGCACCCCGTCGTAAGATGTAACCAACACATATGCTCAAGACTTCAAGTGCTAATAAACATCTTGATCGTCATCCTGGTGGGGCCGCACCGCACGCGGAGGTCCAATGTGTAACTCTTGAATTCTCCAGAGACTAATGGGAGGATTCATCCCCGTACCTCCAGTGATTATGCTGATCGGAGCTCGCCTGCATGTAAACCACACGCATCCAATAATGCACATGTGTGGTGAATGGGCTCGGCACACTGAGGAACACAGTGACAGAGTGTTCGTTCCTCTATGGACGCACTGTGTGTCATTCAGCCGAGGTACGGTGGGCTTGTAGTTATGACAGTGCAACCTCTAGCTGGCTAGTGTAAACATTCCCTACAGATCCACACACACAGTGCAGGATTCCTTCATTTGAATAGAACTGCAGGGGTCCACAGTGTCAGATATCCTTTGTGTTTCCCCGTGTCTATTGTTGCAATTATTACATTAAAGTTTGGTCATAAAGACGGCCGCCGATCCCATAAAAGGATCCCCCTTGACCTTAAATGGAAGAGGCCAAATCATTAAATCAAAGGGACTGGCTTTTAGTCCCATATTGATCTGAAGTATTTAAAGGTCCATGTACGTGTTACATGTACATGTACATGTACATGTTCAACCATAGTTGTTATCAGGTGATACACTGTGAAGTACCTGTGTACATTACCGGTCTTCCTTAATGATACAAATGAGTCATATTTGTTAAGTGCAGAGCTGACAAGTGTGCATAATGTGTGGCTACCGTACTTTGTTATGTTCCCATTCGTTAAACACACTGTGCATGTGCATGCTAATTTTTTTGGGTTTACTGAAAGATGTTTAAACTTAGGTCTACAGAGTGAATTTGTCAACGGAATCGCACACTGTATCCCGCATATACATGTACACGAAAGTAAGAAATTCTTTTGGTTTTTATCCATTTTTAAATTTTTTATTGGAGTACCATACATGTATTTGTTTGTGCGCAAAATCTGTGTCACATACATGTAAACTCCCCTCTTAAACTAATAAAAGATATTTAAAATATAAAACTCATCAACAAACGGTAGAAAAAAATTCACAGAGGCATAAATCGCATCCTTTTGAAATTTAAAGAAAATCTTGCCAGAGTTTCATAGTATACTGTACATGAACCGGTACATATTAGGCCCAAAAAAAATAGTTTTGCTTTTCATTACATTGCATTTGAAAATAGGGTACCCGTAGGTAGGTACGGACATTTAGTCTTTTTTTTGGCAATTTTTTTGCGCACAATCATATGGAGGTGTCTACGTGTAGTCAAGAGTAAAAGGTAGTAATTGATGGTTTTGGGGTTGTTTTTCTCATTTTTCCTAAAAAAAAATTAGGGTACCTGGTAGGGGCTGTCAAAATAGGGTACGTAGGGTCATCGGGAAGCAGCGATATGTCTGTGAATGTGATATTGGTCCTTCTGACCACTGACCACTGTGACTTGATGGTCAGTGACTGGACATACCATATGGACTGACCATCAACACAAATGACCTCTACATGAGGACATGTAAACAACCCTACATAAACATTGACAAGTGCCTGGTGTGTTGTGCAATACTACCAGTAGAAGCAGGTGGGAAAGTCATTACAATATTGAGCTTCATTGTGAAACACTCTTTTCTTTTGAGGGAACAAAGCTCTTCACTTTTGAGAGATTGAAATAAATACATGTACTAGTTTCAATGACCTGTAGTTTCAAACCAATTGAAAAGCTTTTGCATTATTTGTTTGGGTGTCGACAGTAAGTTGGTATAAAATGATTCTGTTTTGCATTACCGGTACTTTTTAATTTTTCTTGAGTCCTATAATTGTCTCCAGGTACACATTGTAAACCAACATGACACAGCCCAATAATTACATGTAACTCCAACTCCCTAAGCAATTTTGCTAGGATGCAATCTCAATCCTGCAAAATCATCCAACTGCCTCCATGTGTAAAAATTTCATACAGTCTCAATCCTGCAAAATTCTCTGTTATATTTCTTGAATGTGGTCCTCTGAGGTGACCACTGCCTCAATCCTGCAAAATCCTCCAGCAATCATTGTCAATACATGTTCAGGCAGAGCCAGTGACATCCTGGAGCAATGTGGAGGATTTCAAGTATATCTAAGGCCTAAATTTATGCACGGCTGAGCATAAACAACACTTGTAAGGTCCGGCCCAAGACCTTTTTGCCATGTATCCTCAATCCTGCGAAATCCTCCATTTTGCAAAGAGCATTTTTGAGGATTTGGGAAGGTTAGGAATAATGTACAACCTATATTTCAAAAATAAAAATAGGCTTTGACTAGTTGGCACTTCTGTCTGTCAAGCATTGTTTTGAAAGCACATTGATTCCTAGAACAAAAATGAAAGCAAATGCCACAATTATGCCAGCTACATGTATTACTAGTTCCTCGATGTTCAACTCTCATTGATCATACTCACAGTAACTTCACCCACATTCCAAAGCTTCACACAAAAATAATTTCATTTCAATACACATAATGTCAAAAGCCCGAAAATTTAATACTTCCACATCACATCAATGCACCACCTTGGGCACTTTTAAACTGCAAAAGACTAAGAGATTTGCAAACGTTTTAAACCCAACCACACAATGGCAGTATACAGTCAATATCATCTGGCATGTCAGACAGGGTGGCAAAAATGGATGGGTCACCCCAGGACAGAAACTGAGCAACAATGGGCCCCATTAAGAGCGCTACCCCTGGGGAGAACTACGTGTAGTGGGTCTGCACAGACTGGTGAAGTATTGATGCAAGCTAACTGGACCTCTCGGAGGAACGATAATAAAAGAAAGGGGTGTTCTAGTGGGGATTACTTCCCTGGGATGGGGGGCTTGGGGAGACCCTAGGCTTAACATTGTACAATGGTGTAAGCAGGGATTGCTTAAACTGTAGCTCAGTGTATGATACAGGTATCAAAATGACTCAGTGTTAATGTTGCTCGGAGGCATTTGAGGTGTTAACAGTGGAACAGTGCAGGCCCTTTTTGTTTAAAGGGACGGTTTGGAAAGCACCCAATTGGGCTACAAAATGTGTTTAAAGGAAATGATGTTAATTGGAAAGAGCATTTGAAAATAGCATATAAGGGTCATTCCGTGTCAATTCAACACGCTTTTGGACCCGACCCTCAAAGATTGAAACGATATTTGGTGTGATGATTGGCCTATATGAGAAACCCACAATCTGTGAGGGTCGGGTCCAAAAGCATGTTGAATTGACACGGAATGACCCATAAACGTCCACACAACCACCCTTTAAAAACTGGGCGTTTTTGAGTAATTCTTGCGAGAACGAATTTCTGGGTCAAAAATTTTGACTCTCAAAATCGAGCTGTTGGATGCCAGTCGTCAATCCTGCAGCACATGTTTCACCAGTGCATCTGCGGACGTGCGAGAAACAACATGTAATGGTGCTGTCAGTATTATGTGTCACACACACACAACGCGTACCGTACATTGAATGGACACGGCTGAAAATACTCATGCGTGTGCCACAAAATGTCCACCGCATCAGAAGTAAACAACCAGGATTGTTCGTCTTTTCTCAGGAACAGTCAGACATAACACTAGTTTCCTTTCAACCAGACCTTTGAAACAGGATACATGTAAGTACATTGTAAATAATCCAAAACATAAAATGTTCGGGGATTTCAGGCCGTAATATCCCTTTAAGTTCTACTAAACAACACCTTGTAAATTATCTCTTTTGCATTAAAAAGGATTGCCTCTTACTTTTGCTGTTGCATTGAAAAGAAAATTTACAAAAAAGTGAATACAATGTATTCTATTCCATGTTTGTCAATTCTGAACAAAACGTTCAGCATTGGATTTATTTATTAACTACAAATCTAGAGAAAGGTTTTGAAAAAACTTGAAGTTGAAAAGGGAACAGCACTTCAGGAGTGATTCAGTACTTCAATGATGATGATTGAAAGAAAATTGTCTAATTAGAGGAGCTACATGTACATGTAACTCAAGACAAGCTGTTTTAAATTAATGTTCAGGGTAGTGTACATGTACTGTACATGTACCTGTCAGAGTGAATTGTGTAAAGCCATACAACAACGAACAGATGATAAAGCTATTCATGTGTTAAAGGTACGATAGCGTAGACTACTACATCTATTATATCCAAAAAGTAACCAACCAAATTATTGTCAACAAGCTTACAATGTACTTGGTTTAAGGATAGTAATGACACTAAACTCCTGTGAAATTATTCCTTCTGGCATGCCGTCATTTTGAAGAAAACATTAAAAGAAGGTCATTCCCAAAGATGAGTCAAGTGACACATTTTTTTAAATTTCCGTCGGCAGTTGGGATGTACATGTACATGTAACTGGGCGCGTTGACAAGACACACACGAGCACGCGGTTGCTATTATTAGTGAAAATCGTCGGTTCAATGTGTGACATCACGTAGCAACAATCGGCTGAATGAGAATCACGTCCCGAATGCTGATTTCGGGATTGTTTCCTGGCTCAGCAACTTTTGAATTAAAATCGAGATCCAGAATATTGTGTTTTCCTGAAATATACAAAATTCACAGAGCTAACGCTTTATCAGGTTACCTGGTAGTTGTTAAAAACCCGTCTTTAGATTTGAGCACTTGTGTTGCTTCAAACAAAAAATAAACGCACCAATGACAAATGATCTACTCTACCTTTGAAAGTCATTTAAGATATCACTAAAAAAAATTAATCATTTTCTCCAAGATTTGAAATAAGCAGCCTAACACGGTCTTGAAACCCACCAATGTGCATGAACCCACCTAATATTGGCTGGCAATTTTAAAATGCAACATTTGGAAATTGTATACAGGTACATGGTACTGTGAATATACAGAAAAACTACATATTTCCATGTACATTCTATTCACACAAAAATTGATCAATCTTGGCACTTTAAGTAGATGCTCTGAAATAAGTTATCGTTAATATCATTCCGGGGGACAGATGGTCTTACTTTTGTGAGTCTGCAATCCCAAGACTGTTTATTTGAAAATAATGAAAACAGACAGAGAGAAAATGTCAGAATATTTCTCGGGCAAGGTACCGGTAGGTGAGGAGTTAAGAAATGCTCATTTAATATCAACAGAGGGCGCTATGACAAATTGCCATACTTCTCACAAACCAGATTCATGCAAGCAAATGAAGCTTGGGAACCACTGCACTGATGGAACAGTGATTGTGAACAGTGCCCTCTATTGACAGCAGTTATCAACTTTTCAAGTACCGGTACATG